AGAAGATCTTAGTTGGTTTGTTGTCTTTTACAACAAAAACCACTTCGTCGACGGAGCCTTGTCTCATAATATAACAGTGTTGGGATGTTTGTTAATACCATTTTTGTATAATATCATAATTACTGATGATAAAAAAGACTATGAGTGATGATGATGCGCAGTACTAAAATGAGTTGGAAGCATATTGTGCTTAATTTTCAGCTAGCGTAATACACGAATCCCTAACCTTTGTCAAAGAATTTAACGAAAAATATCATTATCTATGTCACTCATAAAATTTATTTCTGAGTATTAAACCACCAGGTCAGCCATATCACGCTCAAAAGCCTCAAAATTTCCATTTGGGGATACACTACAAATACAGGTACATTCCAAAATTTCCAAAAAAAAAAAAAAAAAGAAGCCATGAACCACCACGAACTGTACGATAATTTCGACTATATTTATATTCTAATACCTCAACCATATGTGAGGGAACAATGCAAATAATGTAATGCAGTAGTGTAGGAATGTATGCATGAAAAGGGCAGGTAGAATATCAGAACGGCAAAACCGGAAAAAATCAGGTTAATTTTATCTTAGTAAGTTAACTGGACTTTGGGTTATCGAAAAAAAAATTAAAACTCGCTGACTATTGTATTTCAATCAAAGCAAGATTTACCGCGGATTTTTTTTAAATAAATATTTTGCACGAAAGATGTGGTCATATTAGTGTAAAAGATAGAGAAAAATATGTTGAATTGAAGGCGATAAGACACAATGGGCAGCTTGAAGATTGAAGCGAAAGTTAATGAATACACTTAAGTGATGAAGTTTCTAATAAATAATATTTCGAATTTGCACTGACATTGTAAAGCCTAATAACCAGGCTTTTGAATTAATCGGGACGCACAACGGCTTTTATCGAAGCACTTATGTGATTATAGAACTTGCGATTTTGCATTTTTGATGTATAATTCGAGCAGGTAACTGTTATAGGATATTGTCCTCGAAGTCAATATTTTTGTTAAATATAGTATATAGTAACAAGAAAAAAAAAAAACAAAATGTAATGCCATTCAATTACGTGGAAACCAACCTAACTGATTCTCTCATCTTGCGCTGTGCAATGTAGGGAAGGTGTTAGTAATCACTCACTACCAATAAACTTCGCTGATATACTCATTGGCGTCATTCTGAACAATGATGCTCAAAGGTCCTCCGGCACAATCCTTTGAGCAGATTCATGATAATGCTACAGATCTCTGATTTTGCAATGTCATACTAACGATCATGTTTTATCAGCTGTAGAATCATTTGTCGATTTTGGTCTTCTGATGGATCTAAAATCAAATTTTAATAGACATGTAGTAACAGTGGTAAATACAGCAAATTGTGTACTAAGTTTTGTGAGGCACATATATCTTGTATGAATCAGAGTAAAAACAATTTCTGCTATTTGATTTAAGAGATTTACACTGGAATAGTAATTTTGTTTTGCCATCGTATACTAACTTAAAAATCAGACTATTATCTTGCACTCATTTTTTATTAACTGTAGATTCATTTGAGTTTAGAACTTATTCAATCTAGAATTGTTTTATTTTTAAACAATTAAAGTACATGTTTTATTATTTGACAAACTAGCTGATGAATTAGATTCTGTAGCTGGTTTTCAATTTCCTACTAAATTCCCATTATGATACGGATCATGATGTGTACGCGATCCCTACGTAAAGGGAGTTCGCCCTCTTGGTCGGCAGGGGTGGGAATGTGAGGCGTGGGAACGTTCAAAACGAAACGGTCTGAAGATTCGAAAAAAGCAAAACGGATTAAGTTGATGAATTAACTGATGGGCTCAGCTGAACCGGTTTCAGGGTTTAGTAGATTTCGATTTATTTTTCCTCCCCACTGCCTTTTTAGTGGTCTGTGGTTGACTTCCCTTGCTTTGGAAAGTGTTACCTCCGGCTTTGGCACCTCAGAGGGCTTCCTTAACGGCTTTTTTGGTCCGGTCTCCTTGCCAAGCCAGATGATGAGGGGTTTCCTGCAGTCGTCGCCTTTTTTGGATCCTTGACTAGTGACTAGTTTGCTTCCACTCTGAAACGAGCAAAACGTGATCCCCACTATTCGAGCCGCACTGAAAGATATACTCCCGGGGTGTTGGTGATTTCAGCATTCGCTGCGTTGTTGCTGCAGAATATCAGAGATTTTTTAAGGTTAAATGTATATTTATCCTGAAACCTGGAAAATGGCTTTTATTTTCAAAATAAAAAGCAAAATGTGTCGTCCGAAAGTTCGTAGTTGAACCCTTTAGTTTGCATCACTGTCAATTGGTTACATAGTTGTAATGTTACCAAATATCAAGGAAAGAGTGTAAAATAAAAGAAAACACCATTCAGTTGACTGACGAGGTAAGACAACAATAACAAAACAAAGCAAAAGGCCAACCGGAGAAAAAAATAAAACTACTGAAAACTTGAAAAAATTTAAGGATACTTAAGAAACGAATAAAAAAGAAACTTAAGACAAAAAGTGAAGAAAACTTAAGAACTTATGATTCAGTGGATTTCAATAAATTAAAAAAACGCTCAATATAATATGGAAAGGATGAAATTGGCAGCGCACCTTAAGGAGTTGCAAATCAGTCGTCCAAGGACTGCAACAATTTTCCAGTTAAGAGCGTTATTAATTAACGTAGTTGTAGCAGGTTAAGAGCCGCAACGAGTGTTGGAAGATATTTCTGATTCAACAGAGGAAGAAAGTGACGCCGAGCAGATGGCTCTTAAAATTGAGCAGTCAACTTCAAAATCAGGAAACAAAACGAATGATAAGGAGCAACAAGCTGATAAAACTGCGCAGTTGGCAGAAACAACCGAAAAACATACGCTATACAACAAATTAACAAGATGGCGGAACAAGGTTCTAGTTCTTGCGAACCAAAAGCAAATTATTTGGAAATTTTGGAAAAAGAATTGCAGATCAAAATTCGAATTCTAAAGTTAAAAAAGGAGATTGCTGAGCTTGAGAAATATTGGAAATACAAACAGGCGACAACAGTAAGCATTGCGGTAGAAGGCAACTAATGCCAAGAAGTGGGAAATTTTGAAATGAGAATTATGCAATGAATTTAAAAGAGAAATAGGCGCAAAAGACATTTTGAAGAAAATGGAAAGCCGATTTAGGAGAAAAGGGGAGGAAAGTCTCCATAGAAACGTTTTGCTAATGCTAAAATTTGCTGAAGATGTCCCTATGCTAGAGCATGAATTGGTTGATTACATAGTTGAAGGGCTGCGTGGAAGAACCTCTGCATTTTCAGTAATTTCCCTTGTCAAATTTCATTGAATAAAAATAGGTTCCCATCTCTGCATTTTCAGTAATTTACCTTGTCAAATTTCATTGAATAAAAATGGGTTCCCATATCTGATTTCTGTGTATATAATGGATTTATAAATTTGAATATTGACAATGAGATGTTGTCAAATAAATGTTGAATAAATTGTAAACATATGAATGCATGACTTTACCTTCTTAATTTTACCATGCCGTTACCATTTTTACAATATTTGCACGGTGGAGGAATTTACACAGAGAATTCCTAAATATTAAAAGTTATTAGTGGAGACGGTATCCCCTTGAGTATGTGACAGCTATTCCTAATCAATCTGTAAACTGGAATGTAAATGTAAGAGTAGCTTTGGGTAGCCCTTGCAAAGAATATAGCTTCCATTTTTTCCTGTATCTTCGACACCGGAAGCTCCTCTAGCTTCAAAGAGCATTAATTAAATTGTTATACTCCGTATTTCATAATTTAAGAGATTGGGCGGAAAGAGTAATTTGGAAAATCAGGAAAAATTATTTTGAAGATTTTGGAAGAGGACTTTTGAGTATATCTAAAATATCTTTAAATATTAAAAATGGGAATTCGGGTACCACAAAAAATTTCGCAATATCCAAAGAAACATTTTGGGCCTAAAGCCCAAAATTGAATTCAAAATGGTGTTAAATGAAATAAATGGAAACACTAATTGGTTTGTGGTTCTTAATTAAAGATCAATGAGAGAGAGCGAGAGGGATGCACTTGATGCATTTCAGACAGTTTGTAACGTTAATATAAAAATAGACATTAACCCGAAAATGCGGTCCCCAGTGAGGTGTATAACAGATAGGGGCAGTGGTTTTACTTCAATGGAGTTTTCTAGTTTTTAACATAGAAAAATATAGACCACTATAGAATGAGTCAGTAAAAAATTAATGTCAAAGTACAAGGGATCATACGTACTAAACGAGGTGATACAAATATTAATATATGATCGATATATTATACTTAACACTTTATTATATTATATATATTAGCATGTTAGCTATCGAGTAGTCTTAGTCTGATAATGCCCAGTGTGGCTTTAGGAAAATACGAGTACTGCACTTCTTTTACTTGGACTGACTGATTGACATATTCGAGGCAATTCCATTTAATTTTGGCTTCTGTGTCCTTCTGTCGCTTGACTTGGAGAAGGCATTCGACCGAGTGAATCATTTCAAACTGGTGCGTAATTTGCATTTACTGTGTGTGTTGTCGGTCGCTACGTGCTCGCGGATATCTTTCAATTTGTCTGGTAAGAAACTGTTGGTTTATGCTGTTGACAATTTTAACTCTATTTTGCCTGTGTAAAGTAGTGTTCCTCATGGGTCGGTATGGGGGTCACTTGAAGTTACATTAACATGGTTGTATCCCAGATGAATTCTTCATTACTTGGTCTGTACTCCCCGAACTCATCTCTTAGTTTTGCCATTGCTTTGTCAAATGAAAAAAGTTTTCAGTACTACACCTACCTAACACGTGTTTTTAATTGAATTGGATATGTATAATATATATTTTTTTTAATTTTTAAGAACAATTTTAAAGTACTATTATTTGCTTGACCAATTTTCTTAGTTTTTTTCAATAAAATTTTTCAAAAAACATGATGTATAATATTATAAACAAATACTATCATATTCTTACCCATTTTATGTATTTTCAGAGCTTTTGTTGCAGGAAAAACTTTTTTGAATCATGGATAGGTTTAACCTAATGAAGAATAGATCGGATGTTATCGTCGGTGGAAAATATCGGCTGAGTCGCAAAATTGGTACGTATTTTTTAAACTTTTGCTGAAAATAAAATTTTTACGTATGTAAAATATAACTTTTTAGGAAGCGGCTCCTTTGGCGATATTTATCTTGGTATTAGTATACAAAGTGGGGAAGAAGTGGCTGTAAAAATGGAAAGTACTTCCGCTCGCCATCCGCAATTACAATATGAAGCAAAATTATATCGCATTCTAAATGGCGGTGCAGGTATTCCACGTATTCGTCACCATGGCAAGGAAAAAAATTTCAATATATTAGTGATGGATCTTCTGGGACCCTCTTTGGAAGATTTATTTAACTTTTGCACTCGTCATTTTACGATTAAAACTGTTTTGATGTTAGTAGATCAAATGATCGGTCGTTTGGAATATATACACTTGAAGTGCTTTATACATAGGGACATCAAACCTGATAATTTTCTTATGGGTATAGGTCGCCATTGCAACAAACTGTTCTTGATAGATTTCGGTTTGGCCAAAAAGTATAGGGATCCTACTACTCGTGCCCATATACCATATCGGGAGGATAAAAATTTAACTGGAACTGCGCGTTATGCATCAATTAATGCCCATTTGGGCATTGAGCAATCGCGTAGAGATGACATGGAATCATTGGGGTATGTTATGATGTATTTCAATCGTAGTGTATTGCCATGGCAGGGAATGAAAGCCACCAACAAACAACAAAAGTACGAAAAGATTTCCGAAAAGAAAATGTCAACTCCAATTGAAGTTCTTTGCAAGGGATTTCCAGCAGAATTTTCCATGTATTTGAATTATTGCCGCAGTTTGCGTTTTGATGAACAGCCGGATTATATGTATCTACGACAACTTTTCAGGTAAATAGTAGACATTTTTAATGCTTTTTCGTATTATTTCTGTTTTTTTTATTTTATAGAATACTTTTCCGAACCTTAAACCATCAATACGATTATATATATGACTGGACAATGTTGAAGCAAAAGACTCATCAAAGTCAGCCAAACACGGCACTTTTGTTGGGACAAGCTGAAACTCGCAATGACAGGGAAAGGGAAAGGGAGAAGGAGAAAGAAAAGGCGAGTGGTAAAACTATGCTCTCTGAATAATTTAACATGTATGCATAAAATAGTTAATGGACTCGTGTAAAATTGAACAAATATAAAATTTCATTAAAATTATGCTGCAAAATGATTTGCATCATTCATTACAATATTACGATAATTATTAATATTAATAATTTTGAATTATGTCAATAAATGCTAACTGTGTTGGAGTTAAAAATAAAATAGAAATATAAATAACAGTGTATATTTTAAGAATCTAGAGAATGTATCAAAACATCTTAATGACCCTTATTATATTATCCATTATAATATTGAAACTAATAAAGTTAAAAAAACTGTAGACATTCTTTTAAATTAATTTTTATTATTTTCACTTTAATCACATTTGTAATAGTGTGTTGTCCGCGTATGGAATACTTGGGAGCAGAATATTGAATAAAACCCCGGACCATTGCTCCGTTTATCAAAACATCATCCACTACAGATTTGTGACAATGTAGGCGTTTCAATTACCACTATGGCAAGGTTCTTAGTCCACCAAACCGGTTCGGATTTTCTCCCTGGGTAGGTTATTGGACAAGATTTCTCATAGCTTGAACGGAGCACATTTGTGATAACATTATCTAAGCTCTGTCGGCATTATTGACTGATTTTGAAGGTCGAGGTCTCTGTTTCTGTAATGGATGTGAATTTGCCCCAGTCTGTCCTTCTTGGATTCCTAAAAGATTTCTATCGGACTTGTTGAGGTTAAAATTGAACACTGATTCGCCTCACACATTCGTGCCACTGCTTTCCCAGTGGAAGTGATAAGCGCTTACATCACATCTAAGGATGATGACGCATGTATGTACTGCCCATTTCCTTTGACAGGTCCAGGACGTCCTCATTTGTGGAGGCGAAACCCGCATAGTTCTTCCTAATTAACCCGTAGACCCATTGGTAAATAGATAGGGTTGAAAGGGTTAGCTGGATTTTGGCAGCCGCATCCTTGCAGTGATGCAAATTAATCTGTACCAGACGTGGGCCAGACTCCTTATCAACTATTGCTTCCAATTGGTGTGCTTTCCACCATTCTTCTTTGCCGCCACAGAAATTTACGAGACATTTGTGCTTTAGCACCTCAGTTGACAAGATACCTTTATGTCAACTCGCCGTAGCTTTCGTTGTAGTAGCAGCTCCCAATACGAATTAAGGCGACTGCACCATCCGGATCTCTCCTAATACGATATTCACTTTATATCCTTCTATGACTTCTTAGACGGCGTCAGCGTGAATACTATTAAGTCCTGTTCGATAGGGCTGTTGATCTAAAAACTATCTTATACTTCTGTACCTCTCTGTCTAGATTATGAAGGTCTTTCCTTACGTGCATGGACTGAGTTTTTCTATCCAGCCGATGATGATTGGGGCAGCTTTGTCTGTAGTACTCAAGCAGGTATTACATTGACGACATTTAATTAATATTTTTTACCTTCCATCTTGGAAAGGAGAGTATATTAACTTTTTCATTCCGTTTGTAACATCCCTAAATATTCGTCGTAGACCCCATAAAGTATATATATTCATAATCAACATAAAATTCTAAGTCGATTTAACGATGTCAGTCTGTCTGTCTGCTGACACGATAAAACCCACATTATTTGACGTAGAGTGTCAACATTTAGCAGGACAATTTGTATTGTATCTAGGATGGTTGGTATTGAAAATGAGATATATCGTTCCACGATTTGGTATAGTCCCTATATAACGGTACCTCCCGATTTTCGGTATTTTAATGATTTTTACCAAATTCACGGATTTGTCTGAAAATTGGTATTCATTTTTCATAATGGGTTCTAGCTCTGGTGGCGAAACATTGCATGTACAGATCCACGATTTGGTATAGCCCCCATATAACAGTACGTCCAGATATTCGGTACTTTGAAAGATTGGAAACTAATCTAAATTGGAATTATATAAAAACGCATCAACAGCTGTGGATACCTAATCCCAAAGGCCTTAAGTCTGCCCACCCTGCCGTGAACACTATACTCCTCTAATCCCACGGCAGCGGGTCCTACCTACTACAAGTTCCAGTTTCGGCCAACAGCTGCCAACCCAGTATGTACATGTTTGTGTTTGTTTATTTTTCTGCATTGGGAGCAGCATATCCCGGAATGCTTGCTCCGGATTTTATTGGTCCGTGCCGTCATCCACCACATATCTGTTTCGGTGCGATGTAATGGATGTAGAGAATGGGAGCACTTTAAAAACTGTTCCGGACTAAGGCGTTTGCGAGACTATAGCGAAAGGGATATTGTTGCGACTTGCTGCAGTAACGTAGTCCCCAGCGAGTTCACTTCTTCGTCGTCCTCATCAGGGACGTCGTCGGAGTACCGCCGCACCGCAGTCTCCGCAGTCTCCAGAACAGCAACAAACACCGCAGCACCTAACGCCACATGTTGCTGTTCCAACTCCGGATTGTTCATCATTCTTGCAATTTAATTGCAACGGACTCCGAGGCAAAATAGATGAGATAGTGGAATTTATGAGTCGGAGGAATATCCAGCGGCGCTGGAAACCAAGCTGAATGAAAATTGAACCTACAACGTTGTTTTGGTTACAACGCATCCAGAAGTGGAGGTGGGGGAATTAGCGTTCCTGTTACACCATTCTGTTCAGTACAGACCTATCTCGCTTGAGCTAGTCAAGTGTGGAACTGCCGAGGTAGAGGAGCTTAATGTGTATATCCCGCCGATTTATAGGTCCGAAGAGGTGCGCGGAGTATTTTAACCGACAATTTGTCGAGCACCCCGAGAGCGACATAGCGAAGCGAAGAGTACTACATCGTATCAGATCTCCTCCAGCCGAGGAGGAACCACCACAGTTTACGATGGGTGATGTTGCAAATGTCATTCGTAACGCTAAGCCATCCAAAGCGTTAGGCCCGGACGGAATCTCAATGGTAATGTTGAAACAGCTGGATACGCCGGGAGTCGAATACCTAACAAAAGTTCTCAATTTGTCGCTAGCCACCCACATAGTTCCCGAAACCTGGCTACTGAAGCCAGGCAAGGATAAAGGCGAATCGTACAGGTATGCAGAAGGCAAACACATGCATGCATGGTACAATGATATCAAGGTAGGGCTATTATACCATATGATTTTAATTTTTTTTTATTTTCTTGGCTTAATATGTCATCTTTATTTGTTTATGTATGTGTTTTCTTTTCAATAACAAAAAAATTGTTCAGAAAATATCCAAATTTGGATGTTTTCAAAATGTTTATTTCAACGTATGCATCGACAAAATCTAGAGTTTTTGTAGCGAAATAATCCTTTAGAGATATATAGTACATGATTTTGATAAGAAGTGTTGACCTTTCATTCAGTTATCGCGGGTTTTAATTATTTCAATTGTAGGGTTAACCTACTTTGAGAGGATTTATTTTAAGTAATGGATATGACAATTTAAATCCAAATCCAGTGGGTTAACCCTCATATATATAAACGTACTATAACAGTCTAAAGATCATTTTATAACTTAAAAAATACATATCAAGTATTTTTCTGTTATATTATTTAATGCCGACATTAGGAACAGAAAAAAGAGATTTGCCAGTAGTCGGCAGGGGGTCCCGATTACTAGAGATATATCATTTTTGACCAATTTCACCAAAACTTGAGAAAAGCATTAAAAAATAATCCAAAACCTGACCAACTTATCTAAATTAAGTAGGTTTTTTCAATTTGAAAAAATTGTTGCCTATCTAAAGGAAAAAGATCAATTCACAAATTCCAAATATAAGAAAGGTACATTGTTTATTTAATCTCATTTTTATTTTAATTAAAAATCCATACGTTACTGAAGGTAACCATACTATTCTTGATTTTCTACCTATATTTGGTTTAGAATGATAATTAAATAAAACACTATTTAAAAACGAAATTAATTTCATATTCTAGATTAAACTGTGAGTTATTCATTGTTTTATACTACTTAAAATAAAAAAATATACAAAACAATATTTTTTTTTACTGAAATACCATATGCCGACTACTGGCAAATAGACATGCCGAGCATTGGAAAATGGTGCCGACTACTGGAAAAAACTACTATTTTAGTAAAATTGCAAATTTTGCCATTTTAATAAAAACAAATTCAATTTTTGTTTATTATTTCGAAAACTAAACAAAATTTGGAATCTGAACAACTTTATTTTTCTGCAATTGAGATATTTCACTCAGAATGTTGATAGGTTGAAAAATCGAAAATACTAAAAGTGCCGACTACTGGAACACTTACCCTATAAGTCTCCAAACATATTTTGCAGCAAACATATATATTTTTGCTACAGTCTCAAACATACAATATGTTTGGGTACTACAAGTAAATATATGCTTAGATGCAAGTATATGTATATGCTTGGATGCAGGTAAAGTTATGCGTGGTTACAAGTATATATAAGTTTGGATGTAATGTGGGCTGTATCGTCATTTCAACAGACGGACATCGTTAAATCGTCTTAGAATTATTTGCTGATTATGAATATATATACATTATGGGGTCTACGACGAATATTTAGGGATGTTGCAAACGGAATGACAAAGTTAATATACCTTCTTTTAAAAGGTGGAGGGTATAGTAACTTCTATGACAAAAAAAAAACTTTGTTTACCCAAGTGACGAGATCGTAAGCTCAATATAAGAGGAACCAAATAAAACTAAAATTCTTTTAGAAAATCTTCTAAATCTTACAACCGCACTTATAAACATGTTCATCATTCTCCACGCAACAGCATCAACAAATAAGAGAACACAAGTATTTAGCCACGCAGCAAAAACAAAGTTTTCACCCCCATTCGTCCCTTTTGTGTCTTCTGCTGCACTATACAAACAGCCCTCTGTTATAAAATGTGTGAAAGCGCTATTGTTACGCTCTGTATCACAAAAATTTTCTCTCACCCGTTAAAAAATATGTTCTAACATAAAAATACAACAGCAACAGCATCAACAAATAAGAGAACACAAGTATTTAGCCGCGTAGCAAAAACAAAGTTTTCACCCCCCTTATCGCCCTTTTTGTGTCTTCTTATAAATGACTTGTAACAAACTTACTATCATAAGCCTTAAGCTTAGAAAACGTTTGTAAAAACTATAGTAATACGCTTGGTAACAATTATATAATAAACAAAATTGAACCCTGTTATAAGTTTGCTAGTCTATAGTTTACAACAAGCTTTAAATTGTAAGCTTTTAACAAGCTTAGAAATGTAAGCTTTGAACAAGCTTAGAAATGTAAGCTGTGAACAAGCTTAGAAATGTGAGCTTTGAACAAGCTTAGAAATGTAAGATTTAAAAAAGCTTAAAATGTAAGC